CTCCACCTCCGTTAATCTCGTCCTTTTCAGGAGCTGTCCCACCAGCTGGGGCGGTCGGCCCGTCTAGCTTCACGCACAGGACAGACCACTGCTTTGTAACCTTTTATTTTGTCCACAGGCTCAGTGTCAGAGGCAGAAAAGGCCCTTTCCCCAGGAGAGGACCCTAGTGAGCATCTTGTGATAATGTGAGATGAAGCTGAGCAGATTCCTGCCCTGCCCCCAACAGTATTACAAAAAGGAGCACCCCAGGGAGCTTCGTTATGATCCTATTACTGTAGATGATGGCTTGAATCCACCATCAGATTTGGTATTACCATATAATTATTTCTGTAAAAGGCTCAGAATCATCATTAGCACGGGGAGCAAATTAAATGACATGCCAGCAGGGATTTTACTACTGATAAACTAAAATAAAATTAAACTAAAAAAATAGAATGGTATGAATATTGCATTACAATGATCACACCTCCCCACAGAGCCGACAGGGATGGCCAGAATCAGATCAGCCACAGTGCCCTGATCCTGCCTCTCTAGGGAACACGTACACTTGGGTTCAGAGACAAGACGGTTTGCTGGATTCTCTGAGAGGCGCCTTAACCAGCAGCTGGGCCATTCTGCCAAATGCAAGAGGGGATTTCTTTTTTTTCTCTCTTTTAAAGACTTTGCAACTTTCTCTTTAATGCTTTTTTTATTGGCCCTGAGCTAACATCTGTTGCCAATCTTCCTCTTTTTTTTTCCTCCCCAAAGCCCCAGTACACAGTTGTTTGTCCTAGTTGAAGGTCATTCTAGTTCTTCCGTGTGGGATGCTGCCCAAGCATGCCTTGACAAGCGTGTGGAGGTCTGCACCCGGGATCCAAACTGGTGAACCCTGGGCCACCAAAGCAGAGCACACGAACTTAACCACTCCGCCATGGGGCCGCCCCAAGATGGGATTTGTTTTTTGTTTTTTGTTTTTTGTTTTTTGAGGAAGATTAGCCCTGAGCTAACATCTGCTGCTAATCCTCCTCTTTTTGCTCAGGAAGACTGGCCCTGAGTTAACATCCATGCCCATCTTCCTCTACTTTATATGTGGGACGCCTACCACAGCATGGCTTGATAAGCAGTATATAAGTCTGCACCCAGGATCCAAAGCGGCGAACACTGGGCCGCCAAAGCAGAACACGCACACTTTACTGCTGAGCCACCGGGCCAGCCCCAAGATGGAATTTCTTAATGGCACAGAAACCCCTGCACATCCTTAGCCCCCGAGGTGATGATTCACACGGTGCCCTGCTTTCAGGACCTTCTTGAGGTACACAGAGGGAGGAAGGATCTGGTTTTCACAGCAGCTCTTGACTGACTTGCTGTGTGACCTCAAGCAAGGCCCTGTCTCACTCTGGGCGTCAGCTTCTCCATCTACACAATGATGGGGTTTCATGAGATATCTTACAGATGATCTTTAACAAAATGAGAATAATGCTCCTTGACCCACCTCTTAAGATTGTTATCAGATTCAGATGAGTACTGTAGGTGACAGCATGTTCCAAAGCAGAATATCATGAAAGGGGATGCAGTTTTATAGGGTGCAACACGTGTGTGTGTAGTGCACATATACGTATGTGTCTGTATGCCACATGGAACCAAGAGATTCATAAACGTGTACCACTATGTTGAGCCATACTCTCTCCGTATATCTACACAATTCAATATTCCAGCAGTCTTTCTTCAGAGGAGACTCTGTGGCTACAGATAATTAGTGGCAGCGTCTACTTGAAAACAGCTGGCAGTGCATTAGGACAGTTGCTAGCTAAGTAAATGGTAGTTTTCTTGCACTTCTCCTCTTTCTCCTTCTTTTCTTTTCATTTCCTTTTTTTGATACCCACTCTAGATTCACTCATTCATTCATTTAGCACACGTGTAATGAGAGCTGAGGACAAGGTGTGGGAAGGCAGTGGTGAATGAACCAGATATGAGGAGCCATCACAGAGAGTGTGTGCCCCACGTATTTCACAGCCTGGTGAGGAAGAGAGGAAGTAAAGATATAAACATGTAGATGACCGGAAGTGATGAAAAGTGCTGGGAGTGAAAGGGGCTCGGAGCTGGGAGATATCAGCTCTAACGAGAGTGTAATGGACTGAACGTCGTGTCCCCCAAGTCCTTGTCAAACCCTAATCCCCATGTGATGGCGTTTGGAGGTGGGGCCATGGGAGGCAATGAAGTCATGAGGGTGGGGTCCCCATGAATGGCACTAGTGCCCTCATAAGAAGAGGCCAGAGAGCCCGCTCACTCTCTTTCTACCATGTGAGAAGACAACGAGGTCAGCAGTCCGTGACTCGGAAGAGAACCCAACAACACTGGCACCCTGATCTCGGACCTCCAGCGTCCAGAACTGTGAGAAATAAATTTCTGTTGTTTATAAGGCGCCTAGTCTATGAGACTCTGTTATAGCAGCCCGCACTGACCAAGACAGAGGGTGTTCATTAAGGGTTCCCCAAGAGGTGAATTTAAAGCTGCTTCCTTATGAATGGGGAGGAGCCAGCTATGCAATGAGCAGAGGAGAAAAGTATTCCAGACAGAGGGGCAGCTGGTGCCAAGGCCCTGTGGCAGGAAAGGGCTTGGCATGTTCAAGAAACAGGAACACAAGGGGCCAGTCCAGTGGCTGAGTGGTTGAGTTCGTGCGCTCCGCTTCAGCGACCCAGGGTTTCTCCTGTTCGGATCCCAGGTGCGGACACGGCACCACTCATCAAGTCACGCTGAGGTGGCATCCAACATAGCACAACCAGAGGCACTCACAACTAGAATATACAGCTATATACTGGGGGGCTTTGGGGAGAAGAAGAAGAAGGGAAAAAAAGGAAGATTGGCAACAGATGTTAGCTATGGTGCCAATCTTTAAAAAAAAAAACAAACAAAACAGAAACAGGAACACAGCCAGGGCAGCTGGAGTGCAGGAAACAAGGAGGGCAGGCAGTAAATGGCTTTGGCAGGACTTGTGAGCCAGTACAGAGGGTATGTGCCTCAGGAAGCTGTTGAAGGCTGGTCAGGCAATGTCACGACCCTATCAATATTTTAGTGGTATTACTTTTGGTTCTGTGGGGATATGGGTTGTGCGGGGCCAGGAGAAAGGCAGGAGGACGGTTAGCCCAGGCACGGTTCCCTGGACGAGGGGACAATTCACGGCAGAATCAACGGCACCGTCTGACCAATGGATGTGTGGGGAGCAGGAGAGAGCGGCCAAGGATGAGGCTCGAGGTTCTGGGTCAGCACCGGGGCGACGATGGATCCAGACAGGGGAGAAGGGCAGTTCTCGGGGAAATACCAGAGTTCTGCCTGGGATGAGTAAAGATGCTGGAGAGACAAGCGAGTGGAATCAAACAGCGGCAGCTGATACTGTGTCAGTCCTGTTCAGTGAGGAAAACGGAAACCACCCCGGTCCTTGTAGCAGAGAGAATTGAATACAGGAATTGGTTAACAAGGTATTGGAGGACTCAGGGCAGAAAAGGGACACTGGGCGAACACAGAGGTGGCAACTGCAGCTCCACTATCACCCCCAGGGCTGGGGAAGGAAGGGAAGAGGGCGGGGTCATCAGAACCCGAGGCTCAGAGGGGAGCCCTGCTGGGCTGGGACCCCCATCTTGGAGCAGGTCTCGCTGCCAGGCTGGGGCGGTGTAGGAGGGAGTTCCAGGAGGCCAGTTCTGGCAGCGGGGGGAAAAAGCTGGAAACTGACAGCAACAGCTAACCTGCCACTGCCCAGGAAGGGCCATCCATGCAGTGACGCCGACCAGGAGGGCGAGCAAGACAGAGAGCAGCATTTTCCTTCTCCCTTGAAGGCTGCCAGTGGACCAGCTGGCAAGGGGAAATGCCGCCTGCAGAGCTCCAGCCCCAGCAGCACAGGTGGAGTCCAGACAGGTGGGTTTGGGGCCGAGAGACAACAGCTTAATAATCAGCACAGTTTATGTAAGACTAGAACTCAAAGGAGACGCCTGGGCTAGGGACACAAACTCGGGAGTCATCAATGGACATGACTCTATGATCTTCTAGAACACTAATGACGTCGAGTGCCCTGATCTCGGCTAGGCTCTGCAGGGTAGACCAGAGAGATGCAAAGCTAGTCCCTGTCTTCAGGTTGCTTCCTAACCACAAGGTGACCATGAGGCCAACCGGAAAGCAATTAGGCGTTTGGATGTGTCACTTTGCCCCTGGAGCCATGGGTCCCAACCCCAGGTGAGCACTGGAATCACCTATGGAGCTTTTAAAAAGTGTGGCAGCCCAGCTCCCATCCCAGACCCACCGATCAGACTGCGCAGGGCAGGGGCCTGGACGTGTGTGTTTTCTAAAAGCCTCTGAGTGATTCCGAGGAGCAGCCCTTTCCCACGCCAACAAGCACTGGGGACCCACTAGGTGGTGGCCCGAGCTGTAGTAGGCACAGAGTTAGCTTTTGAAGAATGGGCAGGAATTGGATAAGGCACAGGCCAGAGGAAAGGCGACTCTGAGGACGGCTTGCAAAAGAGCAGGGAGGCAGGAACGGAGGGGACCTGCCCAACGGGTCCGCAGCAAATGCTCGCTGATGTGAGTTGCCAAACTCGAACTTCCCACGTGCTGCATGTCTCTCTTCCTGTGTTGGGAGATAATGACGAACGCTATGTGGGGAAACGCTGTTATCAGATCATTTCCACAGTTGCCCTACTCCAAAATAAACAAGGGGCTTTATGCAGGGAACAAAGAGAAAATATGAATCCCAAGGTGGTAAGAGTACCCTACACACAAGTCCGCCTGTTTCTGCCCATTGCCATGTCTTCCTGGTACAAGCCATCACCAGCACCCAGCCCCATACACTCAGCCGTGCCACACACACACTCAGATTCACACAAGCACATATGCACACATATAACACACACACAGGCAACACACCACCCCCACACTGCCTGCCTCTGAACCACGCCATCCCTTCCAGGGTCAGTGAAAATTCCTGAACCAATAGGGACTTGCAATGAGGTTTTAATGACTAGAAGATCAAGGCAGCGTGTTTCTGAGGGAACCCTTCAATATCTAGGACAGGAGACACGATGTGGGGGCGGGGCGGGCTGAGATGACAGAACAGACAGAACGGGGTGGAATGAGGCACTTCCCTGTCACCCTGGTTTCCAAATGATCTGTGAGGACATTTTTGTTTGAAATCAAAGGGTTTCTTTGCCGGCGAACGACCAGAAGGATCAGGTTTCTAGAAGTTCTCAGCAAAGCTAGTACATTATCCAAGGCAAATAATTGACTGAATCTAGGAAAAAATGCAATTTGGGGAGAAGCCCAAGGGACATGTGTTACTGCAAAGCCGAACTGGCCCAGAAGCTTGAATCTTTTATAGCATTTTGTAGAAGCAAAATAGGATCCAAACCGAGTTCTTCAGATGCTGTGAATCTGTGCGTGACTTCATTTCCATTCCTCTAATTCCATCAGAAGCTACAACTTCTAAATTTTCCTTCAGGAAAAAAATCATTTAGCTCAGAAATAATGCTTTCTATATAAAACTGTAGCTGTTTCAGGGTTTCTTTCTTTGATTTTGTTTCCTTCCAAGAAAATCAGAATAAAGGGAGTCATTCGTCTCAATAAAGCCAGACATGGGAAGTTTCTCTCCGAGTACCAAAGCAGACACCAAATTTATTTAATAAAAATTGACCAAGGGCTACGCCTGGTCCTGGGCATTTGGAGCAAATAGGGCCACTCTGCCCTCCATGGGCTTCCACACATGAGACCCCGGGAGAAAATCAGCTTCTACCCCGTGCGGGCTTTGGTGTCCAGGCCAGGTTTCATGGAAGGAGTGGAACACCCCTGGGGTCATGAAAATTGAAGGGAATTAAAAGAGTGGAGAAATGAGCAATGGGCAGACCAAGCAGGAGCAGAGCATGAGCAAAGGCGTAGAGGCTGGACCAGTGCATCACACACACATACACACACACACACACACACACATACACACACATGTGAAACAATAAGAAATACGGGTAGCCGTCTCTGCCCCAGTTCCTGACACAGAGCTCCTAAAACCCTTGTAAACAGAGGTGCTAGGAGCATCTCTTGTTCCAACATCTAGTCTCTGACCCCAGTTCCTGACGCAGAGCTTCTAAATCCCTTGTAAATTCCCAAGTGCTAGGAGCATCTTTTGTTCTAATATTTGATTTTTGACCCTGGTTCCTGAAACACGGCTCCTAAAGCCCTTGGAATTTCCCGGGTGATGGGAACATCTTTTGTTCCAGTGAGGGACTCTTGGTGGGCTCCTGGATGGCGGCTGGTCATCAGAGACACCAAACCATGATTCGAAGCTTCCCCTCTGGGAAGGGAGAGGGGCTGGAGGTTGAGTTAATGATCGATCGTGCCGACGTGATGAAGCCTCCATAACAACCGCAATAGTGTGGGGTTCGGGGAGCTTCTGGGTCCACGTACCGGGAGGGTAGTGCCCCCCAGCTCTACAGCAGAAGCTCCTGTGCTCGAGATGCTTCCATTCCTCGCCCTATGGATCCCTCCAGCTGGCTGTTCATCTATATCCTTTATCATCTCCTTTATTATATAAGGAACTGATTGATATGTGGGTAAGCGTTTCCCTGAGTCCTGTGAGCTGTTCTAGCAAATGAAAGAAACCAAAGAGGACTTGTGAGGGCCCTGATGTGTAGCCAGTCAGTCAGAGGAACAGGTGACAACCCGGGACTCTCGACTGGCGTCTGAAGTGGGGACAGTCTTGTGGGTGAGCCTTTAACTTGTGGGATCTGGCGCTGACTCCAGCTAGAGAGTGTCAGAACTGAAGCGGGTTACAGGACGCCCAGCGGGGGTTGCGGGGAATCGCTTGGTGTGAGGAAAATCCCCACACGTTTGGTGACAGAAGCGTCAGAAGGGAAGTGTGGCAGGAGTGCGAGAGTGGAGAAATACACAGGAGCGGGCTTTTCCTCTTCGGTAAGTGAAAAGCTTGGATGGGGATTTGTGGCCAGATTATAGGAGTCAACGAAAAGCAGATTTTGAGTTTGTCCTGTGACTAAGGAGGAGCATACATGGGTTGTTGAGCTGAAAATGAATAATAATAGTAATAACTAACATTTATGACTATATTCGAGGCACTGGACCAAGCATTTTACATGTATTGGCTGATTTAATTCTCACGAAAATCCTGTGAGGCAGGCACTATGATTATCTCCATTTTACTGGTGAGGAAACAGGCACAGAGAGGTTAAGTAACTTGCCCAAGGTCACACAGCTCCTAAGTGGTACACAGAGGTTGAGATAGCCCACAGCCCCTGCCCTGGAGGCAGTGATGGGTGAGGGTTCTGCCCTCCCTCACGCTGTGCCCTGTCTCATGGAGAGCTAGTCTGAGAACGACACTGAAAGGCAGGAGAAGCTGAGGTGGGAGACGGAGGGGGCCTGGCGGTGTTCTGAGTCTGGATCAGGATCCACTCCCATCTCGAATCCTCCCTTGCGGCTTAAGCTGGTTGGAGGAGGGGCTCTGCCACTTACAATGTGCTTTCCCTTCACCATTGATTGTTTTCAGATCAGGGCTCTTCCTCAGCTGGAAAACTGTGCCTTCCTCAGCAGCACCTTACTAAGTACTTAGCTCCAGGCACTGTGCTGAGGCTGGGGACACCGAGCTGAGGGAGACACAACCCCCCGACACCTGCTGGAGGGAAACCATGTGAAGAGGACTGCAGCATGCAGGACAGGGCAGGTCACGGTGGGAGGAGGCCCAAGATGCTCCCCAGAGTCAGGAAGGCTCCCAGAGGAGGCAACACCAAGGAGCACTGTGGAGGGGAGGGGAGCTAGCCAGACGGCACTGGGGACAGAAAAGAGGGACCAGGTCCTTGCCCAGGCACAGACACCCACCAAGATGCTGCGTAAGGTCCAGACAGACCCTCCCCCTGCATCATTGCCGCATCTCAGGAGAGGCCTTTGTGCCCATCCCCCCACAAAGAACTGTAACAGAAAGGCCGCTGACGTCCAAGCGCAGACACTCAGAGTCCCGAACTAAAGTGTTTGCTCCCCAGCTTAAAAAAAGCTGCAGGTCCGTGTGGGCAAAGCAAATGGCTGGGGTTTAGAGAAAGGAAAGATCCGGCTTTTCTGGGCATGAGCCCAGGGCCCCTCTGGGTTTCAAGGTGAGAATCCACCTGTCGGGTTGGAGGGACCTCACCTCAGGCCTCGCCTGTGAGACTGGATTTTCTCAATGGGTTGGCCCCAACTCTGAATACAAGGTCTTCTCTCCCAGCCCTCCAGGGACAGCCGGGATGGGAAGGTCGAGTCCCTGACCCATTTGCAAGGATTCCCAGCAGGACACCTCATTGGAGCAATTGTCACCCTCCCAGGGTGATGCCCCAGAGAGAGCACCCAGACCTGGGCCCGGGTCCTGTCTCTGCCACTCGCTCTCTGTAGGACCCTGTCCAGGTATTTACACTCTGGCCTCAGGACTTTACCCTGTAAAAGGCTTGCTAACACCCACTGGGAGGATGGTCACGAAGACTACAGGGGTCTAGGATGACAATACGCCCCACTGGCTCAGGTACAGTGCCCGGCCTGCGGCGGGCGCTCAGTAATTGAGACCTGTTGCTACAATGGCAAGGATGACCCACGCCATTGCCATCCTTCCATCCAGCTGAGTCTTGACGCACCCTGCCTCTTCACAGGCAGAGCAGTTCTGAACTTCTTCCACGTTCCTGGACTCTCCTTAAGAATCTGGAACAGTGACAGACCCTGGCAAAAAGCACATGCACACGGATTTGGCACAGGACTTCAGCGGAGCCGAGAAGCCCCTAATCCCAGCTTGATGCCCTGCAGAGGTCCGGGCTCCAGATCCAGAGGCCCCGCAGTCAGGGGAACTCACCTCTCTCAGAGCTCAGTTATTTTGTCCTGAGATGACAGTGAGGTGGGCTCTTGGCACTTTTTTCCAGGCTGGTTTTGGAAGGCCTGTCACCATCACCACCGTGAACAGCTTAGAGAGATCCCCTGGCCTAGAGAGGCCCAGCGTGCGGGTCACAGAGCAACCGAAGAGGCCCAGGAATCGGCCTGCGCCCACGCACTGTGCGCAGCCCGAGGAAATAGCGGCACCCACCCCATGCGCAAGCTCGCATTTTCAGACGTAGGAATTTGCTGTGGCAAAGAACAAACGCAAAATACAAAGGGTTACTAAAAGCACCAGCACCCACCAGTGGAGGTACCAGAAATATTTTGACATTTAGGCAGACCTTCAGACTTGACAAGGTCAGAAATCCCCGCTCCGGTCCAGCCGCCCTTCCCTGGCCCCCAGTCCAGAGGAGGCATCCATCACAGACGGTTGCCTAGGCAATGCCTGAGCAGTTGGCCTCCTGCGGTAACTAATATAATTAAAGTGGAAACCTTTTAGAGCACAATTTAAACAGAAGAGAATCATGCCAAACCAAGGGCCCCTTTATTTAGCTTCTGCAAATACATCTCATTTCTGGGGTCCCCGGGTCACACACTCTGCTCTCGGCCACTTTTCCAATTCTCCAGACCCACACCCTCCCACTCAAAGAGAAGGGTTTTGGTTGAGTTTCTTTGTCATTGTTTCTTTTATCTTGCTCTCTTAAAGTCACAGAATCTAAAGTTAGATAAAAAGATTAAATAGTTTTGCCTGATTTTCAAATTGGGGGAGATTATGTTTCAATTTGCTCCCAACTGCTACTCAATCAAAAAAGCAGGTTTAAACGGTCTTCAACCTACTACACTTTAGCCAGTGAAAACACGATGAAATCTAACAATAGTAACAAACAGGGATGCCTGACAGCACGAGAGTTAAATAAATGAACCTTATCAAAGGCCTCTCCATCACCTCTGTGTTCCTCCTCTGATTCCAAGCCTGTGCTTTGTCCAACCCCTCCCCTCTCCTTCCTTCATCTTCCAAGGGCTTCTGTCTTGAAATGAAAGTGAACAAACCTATTGCTCCGTTTTCTCCACGTCTTCCTTTGAAAATGACTGCTCACCTGCAATTCAGGAAGTTTCCACCACGGGGTGGTACTCCATTACCGCAGACTAGGCAATAGTTGTATAAGTGGGAGCCATGACACCAACGTTTGTTCTAAAAGCCTTTAGGTGGTGGGATTGTAGGGAAAATCTTTTTCTGCATCTTTATGCTTTTCCTTTCCTTTCAAAAGAGAATATACTTCTTTGATAATCAGAAAGGAAATAAGTTGAAAACATTTTAAAGTTATTACAATTTAATAGTATCACTCAAATAGCAGCCACTGCTCCATCTCGGCTAGACGAGAGGATGGGTCACTCAGAGTGCGCTGAACATAAAGTAGGATCAGAGAGCTGGTCCCCACCCCTCTACAGTGGAGGGGACGGAGTGACCCCCTCAAGGGAGGAAGAGGAGAGACTGGGGGTGCCCGCAAGAAGGAAGGCTGGCAGTTTGCTCTCCAGCGAGAAGCTGAGTTGCAGAAAGTGAATCCCGTCTCAATGACAGTGGCAAACTAGGTTTCTATGGAGCAGACATTCCCTCCAACCAACCCTCTCCGTGGGAGGGCTCTTTCCCGCCCCACTGATGTTGGGCTTGGCCACGTTACTTGCTTTGGCCCGTCATGAGCAGAGTATCCCCACGCCCTCCTCCTGTGTGGACTCTGCACTCAGTCAGGGGGCTCGCTCTGGCCAAGGAGATATCAGCAGACATGGTGCAGGCAGAGGTTCAAAGTGTGCGTGCATCATTTGGTTTGTTCTCTAGCCCTTCGGTCGTCTCCCGGGTGTAGCTTCCCCCGGGTAGCTGCTTCCCCTTCAGCTTTGGCCCAGAAGGAACACACATGGGTCAAACCTGAGCCCAACTAGCAGCAAGAAGCCAACACCGACCAGAACACCACTGGAAACTGAGCTGCCCAGATAGGTCAACTTGTATCAGTCAAGCTGCAGCCCATGACTGTGAGAATAGGGGCTTAATGTTGCACGTCTCTGAGTTGGAAGGTGGTTTGTTACATGGCATTATCACACAGTAGCTAACCCATACAATGGTGAGCGTTCTTCAGTCACTTGACAATTTCTTCTGGGAGTTTGTGCCGCAGTGGGCCTAGAGACTCCTGTTTAATTCCTGCCTGGAAACTTATGAGGGCACAACCTGGAAGAAGCTGCTCATAATGTCAGGGCACAGAGAGCTGGGACAGAGTTGGGCAGGCTGCATGGGCACCATTAGATGGGGCAAGGATGTATGTGATTCCCATGTATCAAGTGGGCACAGAAGTTAGTGGGTTGGAGCCATCGTGATGGAATCCTACTCAAAAGCAGTGTCTGCCAGGTCGGGAAAATCCATCAGTAAGGGGCTGTGGATGCACCTTTGGGGGCTAAAGTAGAGGGAACAGGAGACGGAAGCAGGGCTGTAGAAGGACAGTGAGAGAGTGAAAAAGTCACGTGCCCTTGGTGCAGGTCTCCAAGCTTAGATCCTTCTAAACTGGAGGAGAGAGGAAGCGAGACGTGAAAAAGAAGTTTTTGTTTAGATTTGACTGGACCTTTTAATACCTGAAAACAGGGCTCTCATAACTGAGAAGTGACCAGAAATCTATGGAATCTTCTAGAGGTAACATTATAGGGAGAGAAAGACATCTGACAGAACGTATTGGAAGACAGTGATGGGACTTTAAATTGTTCAATAAAATGGTTATACCAACTATGTAAATTACATATAAAAGTGTTACGCATTCTATATTAAGCGTGTCAATAGAGATGTTCCTGTTTAGAGAGAACGACTGGCCAGGGACGCTCTGGGCCAGGGCTGTCTCTCTGGCGGGGGCTCCCGCAGTGGGAACAGACTGCAGTCTCCTCCTCTCCTGGCTCCCTTGGCTCTAACGATATGGCTCCTCCTCGGCAAATCTCCCTTCAAATGTTCAGCCTGTGGCAAGGAGGTAGTTTTACAGCTTTTTATTTAACATCCCCCTGAGAATTATCGTTTGCTTTTACAGGATATTACCAAGAAAAGAAGGCAACAAAAACGCATTTTAATTTTCAAGCAATTTGGCTCTTCTCTCAGATAATGGAGGAATCAGAAGCTGTAGGGCGGAGCACTGAACCCCGGAGTCAGAAGACGGGGATTGTCTGGTCAGCGGCCCAACTCCCCATGTGACCATAAGCAAGGCCCTCCACCTCTGGCCTTCATTTTCCTCTCGTCTAGAGCCTCTGCAAGGTTTGCCTCAAACATCCTACATGCCAGGATGTCTTCTGTGGTGGAAAAACCCTGAGCTAGATTGACAATCAGAACACGTGTGTTCTAGTCCTTCCTATTCCACCAAGGAGCACCGCGATCCCAGGAACAGGACTCAGTGTCATGACCATCAGTTGTCTTATCTTTAAAATAAGAAAATAAGTCTTGCCTGACATCCCTCCCAGGTTTTACTGTTGTTTCGATGCTTTGGTTATCTAGTGCTGCATAATATACTACTGCAAAATGTAGTGGCTACAACCAACCATCTATTTCACTCATGATTGTGTGGGTCAAGGATTTGGGGAAGGACCCAGCTGGGTCGTTCATCTTAGCCCTGGGCCTCTGGGGCTCGAGATTCCGTTTCCCAGTATGCCTCTTCACTTGCACATTTGGCACAACGATACTTCTTGCTATCTCTCTCCTTCTCTCTCTCTCTCTGTCTCTCTCTGTCTCTCTCTCTCTCTCCACATGGTGTCTCATCCCAGAGCCTGAATAAGGCAGGCAGGAAGCAGAAGCTTCCAGCCAGTTCAGAGCTACTCCCAGAACCACCACAGCATAACTTCTGCCGGATTTATTCTACTGGTCAAAGGAGTCCCAGTCCAGCCTAGAATCAAGGATTGAGACATCAACTTCACCTCTTGATGGAGGATGGCAAGGTCGCATTGCAGAAGAGCAAATGAGACGGTAGACATTGGGAAATGGAATCTGTCACGTATTGTTTTTGTTGTTATTCTGGGGAAAAATTTTGATAGATGTGGAAAGTCTTTGAAAAATTAAATCTCCATGCATCTATCAAGTGCCATTACTCTCCGAATTTCAATTTTCCATTTTTAATATACTTTGGTCAATGTGACTTTGAGGTCAGCAATGGGTCCCTTCCAAATCCAGCTGCAGTGGTCTCCAAACCTGTCCCTTAGATCAACCCCAGGTAGAGACCCAGGGGAAGTCCTTCAACAGAGGGACGGGGCTCTTTGGGTTGAACAGAGACTTGAAGCATCAGCCATGACACACCAGATTATGATCTAGTAACTACCCACCCTAAAATCAACGGCTCACACTAAGAAGAGTGTACCTCTCTCTCACTGCATGCCTATCATAGGTCAGCCAGCGCTTGGCTGCTCTGAGACACGGTTGACAGAGCATGCGCCACTGCAGCCTCTCTGGGCACCGAGGCAGAGTGAGCATGGCTTACCCCAGAAGTGAGACATGTCACCTCCACTCAGATTCCCCTGGCAAATGCTCATGGCCACACCTGACCTCAGAGAGGCAGGTGCGGTGCAACCCCACCATGCCCCTGAAGGCAGAGAACTGGAAATCCTGGAAAACGGCATTCCTAAGGACCACGCTTGGATTGGACGTTTTCAGGATTCTACTCAGGGATGTTGTCAGAGCCCCTTCTCGAAATGCACAAGCACCTGTATGAAGATGCAGAGAGAAAATACATGCTGTTATGCTATACAGCAATCTCCCCTGAGCCTTGGTTTCTCTTTCCAGTTTCAGTTACCTGCAGTCAACCACAGTCCAAAAATAGTAAATGGAAAATTCCAGAAATAAACAATTCATACGCTTTACATTGTGTGCCGTTCTAAGTAGTGTGATGAAATCCCACACCATCCTCCTCCCTCCTGCCTGGGACGTGAATCATCGTTCGTCCAGTGTATCCACACTGTACACGCTGTCCGCTTGCTAGTCACGCAGTGGTCCTCGCGGGTGTCAGATCACTGGTCACAGTATCGCAGTGCTTGTGTTCAAGTCACCCTTACTTGACTTAATAATGGCCCGAAAGCACAAGAGTAGTGATGCTGGCAATTCAGATGTGCCAAAGGGCAGCCGTAAAGTGCTTCCTTTAAGAGAAAAGGTGAAGGTTCTCAGCTGAATAAGGAAAGGAAAATAATCGTAAGCTGAGGTGGCTAAGAGCTATGGTAACTTTTATTACAGTATCTTGTTATAATTGCTCCATTTGATTATTAGTTATTGCTCTTAATCTTTCACCGTGCCTAATTTATAAATTAAACTTTATCATAGATATGTATGCACAGTCACGCGCCATGTAACAACGCTGCAGTCAAGGACAGCCCACATATTCGATGGGGGTCTCGGAAGATTGGTACCAAACGGCCTAGGTGTGTAGAGGCCATAGCACCTAGGTGTGTGTAAGTACACACTATGATGTTCGCACAATGACGAAGTCACCTAACAACGCGTTACCCAGAACAAACCTCTGTCGTTAAGCGACTGCATGACTGTCCAGGAAAAGACGTGCAGTATACATGGGGTTTGGTATTATCTGTGTTTCAGGCACCCATGGGGGGTCTTAGAATGCGCTCCCTGTGGACAAGGGGGCTTCTATATATTCTCCTGCTCTAATATGCTGCATTTTTTGGCCAAGCTTTTCTTTGCTGTTTCCTGTAAGATGTTTCCCAGAGCAGTGGCAGCTGAAATCCTGACCTTGCTGGAGATTCACGGAGAACAAATCGTTCCCAGGGCGAGTCCACAATAGTACCCACCTGCCAGCTCCACAGAGTACACGGAGATGCCCGGGCCGCCCACCCAGAGGCTCCTGGTCTTGGCTTGGGTCGCGGCGTGTTCATGAAAGTCCACACAGCAGAGCAGAGAGAGCGGAGAGTAGAAGCCACATCACCCACGTTCAAAACCACCGCTTTCTCAGTTGTGACCTGGAGCGATTTACTCAACGTCTTTGAGCCTCAGTTTGCTCAGCTGCAAAATGATGACAGTAATGGTACCTACCTTCCAGAGCTGCTCGGAGAGTCAAGGAAGATAACACGTGTAGAACACTTAGCGCCTGGAGCTTCTAAAACTGCTGTTCCTGCTGTGATCGGCGTTGCTCTTCGGCCCAGCTCTGCAGGCCTATGACCGGTGTTGACCCCTGCCGGGGTCTGATGGTCACACTCACGTGGCCAGGTCCTTGGTGCTCATGCAGGAGAGCATAACCGGTAAGTGCTGTGAGGATGAAATCAAAAAACACATGAAAAGCAGAGGTCCTCACATTGAATTGTCATGGGATGAAGTAGTTTTGAACATAGAACAAAGGGATAGTTATTCTTCTTACCGAAAAATATCTTCCCCATCAACCTGCCAAGATACCTGATAGTTTATCATTAGAAATTCATTCCTTTGGCTTAACCATGGCCTCATCTAAGTGCCTCACAAACATTCACTGAGTAAATGAGGGACAGAGGTAGCCAAGGCATTTCTAACAAAGACCCTGGTGAAAAGGGATAGAAAGTTCGCCTGCCCAGTAATCTCCCGGTCACCGAACAAGAGTTACTACAATTCCACCATGTGTGGAATGTGTCATGACATTTAAAATCCTTGTTAAAATGATTTTTTTCGACTGTATCACTAAAATGGTTTCTGAGCCAGCATTCTTGTCTCTAGTCGGGCTCCTCTGATCCAGACTCTACATTACCGCCAGGGTAATCTTTCTACAAAGAGACGCGATCACGTCATGCACTCGTTCTAATGCCCTTTGCTTCAGCACAGATATCGGCCCCTGACGTGGCGTGGGAGGCCCCCTACATCACACCCTCGGCCCCTCGTTAGCCTCGTCTTTTACTGCGGCCTCCAGCTCCCTCACCTCCAACCAACGCTCTAACCCCCAACACAGATTGGCTGGCCAGGATGGACAACATTCTTTCCTTACCTGTCAGTTTACAGGAGTTGTCCCCTTTGCCTCCATCACATTGAACAGAAATCGTGGTCTAGGGGGAGCTTTCCGCCCTCAGCATTATCACGTGAACCAATGATCACAACACTCTTTCTTTCTAGACACAAGAAGGGACATGTGACTCAGGCCAGCCAACCAGAGAACGGCTTTCCCTTGGAAATAAATTGGTCCAGGTACGGCCAAGTGATCCACATAAGGCAATCGGGGTCTTCTCTTGTGATTTATTAAATGAAGAGAAGTGGGTCTTACCTTGTTGGTCAGGGAGTTGAAATAATGTACACCAGGGGCTGCCAGAAACCATCGTCTCCTCCTGCCGCCAATGTGGAGAGATCATTAGCTGGAGGAGCTGAAGCAGAAAAGGAAGCAGGAGAGAGAGGGAGATTGAGAGAGAATGCCAGAGCTCGTTTTCATCCCTGGATCCAGTCAAACCCGCTGTGGTGTCCACAAATATGCCCACAAATTTGACACTGCTCCCTCCACAGACGGACTCGAATTCCCCTCTCCTTGTGCGTGGGCTGGATTTAGCGACTCCTTCTAACGGATAGAATGGGGTAGAAAACACAGAGCGGGACTTTGAGGGCAGGTCTTAAAGGCATTGTGGCTTCCATCTTGCCCTCTCTTGGGTGACTTGCTCTCGGAGAAGCGGGCTGCCGTGTCAGAGGACATTCAAGCCTCCCTACAGAAAGGTCCACGTGGTGAGGAACCGAGCCATCCTGCCAGCAGCCGGAGAGGAAATGAAGGCCTTTGCCCACAGCCGTGTGAGTGAGCCGTCTGGGAAGTGGCTCTTCCAGCCCTAGTCCAGACTTCAGATGCCGGCCAATGTCTTGTCTAAAATCTCATGAGAGACTCCGAGCCAGAACCACCCAGCTACGCCACTCCCAAGATCCTGACCCTCGGAAATTGTGAGATAATCAGTGTTTGTTATTTTCAGCCAGTGAGTGTTGTGGTCATTTGTTTCTCACCATTAGGTAACTAACACATGATGTCCACCTTGGACATCTCATATTTTTTCTGCAGTTGAGTTGGGTTTCTATCTTTTACATCTGCAATTTCCCAAATTACAATCTCCTCTTCCCCTGCTCTCCCAACTTCTTCGCCTGGCTAAGTCGTCTTACCTGTCAGATCCTTACTGGGTATCACCTCCCCTGTCCTCCTCCCCATGCTCCGCCCCTCCGAGCTAGCAGAGGGTCCCTTCTCTGCATCCCCCATGCTTCCTTCCACTCAGTGCAGCCATTGTCATTTTTGCAGGTCTCCCCAGCTGGACTCTGGGCTCCTGAGGGCAGGGACCATGTCTTTTCACCACTGGCCACCACGTCCCCATTACCAAGAGGAGTTTTCATACCTCTAGACCCTCAGTCAAAGTAGTAGACCAGGTTGGTACCCGACTCGGATCCCCTTTACTGCCAGGTAGGGTGGACAGCTAGTGCTGGACTGCCCAGGGCTTTCCAGGTTTTAGCACTGAAATCCTGCATCCCGGGAACCCTCAGTCCTGGGCAATCAAGATGGCTGGTCACCCTGGAGTGTCAGTTACACCTGCTCCCGGCTCCTGCTGCAAGAGCTGGTGCCAAGAGCTTACACAGGTGACCATCTCCAGAATGGTCTTTGGCTGACAGGAACCGCCTCACCCAGAGACTCCGGGAGGTGACATCACCAACCTCAGCGGGGCTGTGACTGGCTGATAAAGAGGTCCAAGAGCACAGCACCCCTGTCTCAGGGTGGGGCAACTCTGTGATGCTATTTACACTCCGGAGCCCCCTCAGTGCTTTAGCCCCAGACAATACTGCCCCTGAAACCTTGCCCTTGCTCAGCCCTTTCCCTGCCTGTCCTGCATCCCCACTTGCTTATGTGATTCTCCCGAGGGCACATGTGCCCAAACCCCTGCATCAGGCTCTGCTTCAAGGGAACCCAAACTAAGGTGGTAATAGTTGTGAATGAATGAATGACTGAAGAGAACCTTAGTCACTTACCATCTCTGAGCCTCAGTTTCCTAACCTATAAATGGGGATAATACCATCAACTTATAGACTTGTCATGAGAATTAGAGGAAGCGGTGTTAGCAAAGGGCCTGGAACCGTGCCTGCCCCCATGAGGGGCTGTTCCATAGTAACCCTCAACTCCCCTCCCCACGTGAGAGCCCATCACAAGGGTAGGGTCCCACACTGCCATTGGGGGAGCCAGGCCCTTCCCTCTGCCGACGGTGACCAACAGCTCTCCTGAGCCTGAGGCAGCCCATGGGTGTGGCTGTGGAGAAGGAGGTTGTTCCTGGACCCAAGGGAGATGCTGTCTCTGCAGAGAGCCAGGCAGGCAGGCAGGGAGGGTTTGACAGGCCCTCGGACAGCGGGCTGCGGTTGAAAGCTGTCTGGGCCGAAGCACATCTTCTTAGTTCCTCGGAGATAAAGTAGGCAGGCCGAGGCTGCGAGCAGGGAAATGTGTTCCTGTCTCGGGGAGAGGAGGCGCCCAGACGCTTCCCACCTTAAGCCTCTCCAAGTCCATTTCCCCCGTTGGCGAAGAGGCTCGAACATGCACGGGATTCTGGTGACAGCAGTGGCCGCGTGTAAAGGCAGTAGACAGAGGCCCAGCATAGTCAGGCAGCAGTCAGGCCCCCACCCAGCCCCCGCGGGCACCTGCCCCTGCTAGACACAGACCCCTAGTCTGCCTCCCTGGAAATTGGGGTTCCAGGCAAAACAGTGACCTGGGCTCGGGTTGGAGGTTTAGCTGAGGGAAGACCTTTGACTTTGCTCTGGAACCACAGGCCTCTGAGTGGATAGGCAAGCCCTGATTATGGCCCTTTAGGGGAAACTGCCACTCCTCCACCCCCTAAACATGAGTGGCAGGTCTCTGGTGCCAAACGGCAGCTCTCAGGATGGGGAAAGAACTCACCCCAGAAAACGCTTAATTCTCAGCTTAAAGAGACCCAGCTTCAGAATCAGGCAGAAATAAGCACAAAGCCTGGCCCTGCTCTCATTGGCTCTGTGGCCTCCGGTGAAGTCACATCTTCACGTCTCTGAGCCTCCATGCACTCATCTATAAGACGGGTGTAGTGGCCTCTGCTCCCCCAGGAGCACAGGCTCACCACAGGCGCTCACCCTGTAGAAGCCGAGGCCTCCTTGAGCCTGAGAACTGAGTCCGGCACTTGAGCTGCTTTCTGGACCCCCAGAGCCCGGCTTCAGAATCCCCAAGCTGTCCTCTCTGCCCAGCCCCTCCCCTCCCCTTCAGACTATGCTGGACCCGAACCCCAGTAAAACCCCGGGAGAGATGGACACCGCATCCTAAAAGGGGAATTCCAGATGGCCTACTATCCAACCCAAAGAAACAAGTCAGTCATGATGGAATTTCCACATGACAAGGTTGGATCTAGATAGTTCCTAAACAAACCAAAGCAAAACATAGTGCTCCAAACAAAACCATATATATATATATATATATACATATATATATAGTAATATTATATATTGTATATAATTATTATCTTGGTTCTACGGCGACTGAAGGGCTCTCACTTGGGGTCTCACACAGTGCATGGGTTGGAGCCCTCTGAAGTCTTGACTGGGCAGAATGTCCAAGACGGCTCGCTCACATGGCTGGCAGTCGGTGCTGGCGGCTGCCTAGGAGCTCAGCTGGCGCTGTGGACCAGAGCGACTGCACATGCCCTCTCCACGTAATGATGGCAGCTGGGTTCTGAGAGGCCGATCCCCGAGAGCCCAACCTCCAGGAGGCCCAGGGGAAGCTGCGAGGCTTCGCTTCTGGTAACCTGGCGTTGGGAATCACATAGCACCACTACCACTGCCTCTGCTGGTCGAGAGCTAGCCACAGCCAGCCCAGACGCAAGGTGTGGACGTCAGGTGGCCGGCTCACTGGGCGCCATCTTTGGAGACCAGTTAGCACAGAAATAAACGTTAATTAAGGATGAGAAAAGGAGGATCAGCATTTATCAAAGTTCTGCTCTGTGCCAGGCCTTTCAAAAACAGCCCCTGTGTAGTCCTCACAACAGCCCCAGAAAGGTGTTCCTGCTCCCAGTTTAAAGAAAAGGAAACTGGCAGTCAGAGAGGTGACGAGTTTACCCGCGGTCATAAAGCCACAGGGTGGCCAGGCCAGAGTCTGAACTCAGGTCTGCGGGCCCTGGAGCCTGGCCCTCCTCAGACCAGCCTGGGCTGCGAGGGTTCCCCAAGCAGCTGTTTCCCGGAGGTTCTGCCTCAAGAAACCGAGGGCTTCACACATTGGTAATTCCCTCCTTTCCACTTGGACAAGTCACCCTTTCACTGGAACAGAAATGACTCCGGCTCCACGCAAAGCCCCGCTCCCTGTTCTGGCTGGAGACAGGGAGGTCCCTCCATTGCTGAGGCCTGGCTCGCCTGCCCCCTTGCTCTGTGTTAGCTCAGACTCCGGGCAACCAGGACAGAGGTGGCCAGTCCTCCCCCCTCCCAACTTCCCTCTTCCTGTGCTGCTCTGAGCCCCATTTCTCCATGGATCTCCCAGCCTGCCCTGCCTCTGTCTTCGCTAAGGTTCCCTGACTTTTATGGACATGAGCCAGAGCTGGGTCATTAAGCCTGAATCTTTTGAAATACTAGAGATTCACAGTCAAATCTAATGTCTGCAGTGGGTGAGGAGCGAACTACACACAACCTGGCACCACAGATTCTGAGCCTGTAACTCGGAGCTTGAGGCCACCCTGGGAGGACAGGGTTAACCCGACGGGACCCCAGAAGACCAGGACACACATAACTCTGTACTGAGTACTCTTGTGTAACCAGCCGAGAGGCAGGGCCGTGGGGAGGCAAGTGAGGAGGGAAGAGCCCCACCTCCAAGATCTTTAAGAATTCAGCCGCGTCCTGGCACATAAATTCCTGTTGATAAATGCCTAAAAGAATGGAGTAAATAAACCAGAGAGCATGACACAGATTTCATAGGGGTATGTGCAAAACCCCCCAAAAGGCACTATGGGAGGAAAAGCTAATTCTATTCATCTTCACTGAGCCCCTATTTTATGCCTCCACCATTAGAATGATCTCGCCCACTTAACCCCCTGGAGTGGAGAGAACACGGCGTTGGGGGGAGGGTGAGGGGGCAGGCTCTGCCCAGGGGAGCTTGCACACGGGCCACAGGCAGAGACAGGGAGCCCGCTGCCCTTGGACCCAGGACGCGACAGGGATGCGCCTGCAGGCCCTCGAAGGCATGGTGACCCTGAGCCTGGTAACATGGGCCATCTGACCCGAGGACTGGTCCGTCACATTCGCAGAGGGCATCAAAGCAGACGGACAGCAGGTTTGAAAGGTCCCCCTTCAGTTCCTCCCTAACAAACACAGGCTGAAATGCGAGATGAGGGCTGGAATCTTCCCCACGCCCTCT